TCGCCGCCCCCCGGGCCGCCCCTCCGAAGGCCGACCCGAGCCCAGGTCGCTCCCCTTTTCGAAGGACTCCGTCCTAAGGGGGGAACCCCGCTAGTGGGCCTTCGGAGTGGCAGGTAACGCTCGGAAACGAGCCACAGCTGGCCCATTGTTCCCTTTTCAAGCTTTGTATGTATCCCGGCGGCGACCTGACGTTTCGGGATGAGTCCTGTGTTACTCTTAAAACCTAGTCCTTTTTAATACATAGAGTTTTTCATTTAGAATGAGCCTTTACACAAAGGAACGAGCGAATCTAACATCCTTTTCCCCTTTTCAGAACCATCGAGGCCCCCAAGAGCTCCACCTAGTTCACGGGATCAAACCCCGCAGCAGCAGAACTCCGAGGCGGCAATGGCCAAACCCCAGGTGGCTGTAGCGCCCGTATTAATGTCCAAGCTGTCCGTCAACGCTCCCGAATTTTACCCATCAGGTTATTCTTCTAACTATACAGTAAGCATTTTATTACCATTATGACTGAAGGATATAATCATTACCTCCTTATGCTTAAAAACAAAAATTTCCATAAAGTTATTATGAATTTGTGGAACTCGTGAGGAAACCAAACTTTTCAGGAATAGATTACTTAGTTACTAACCGCGGTCTTGGGGTGTAAGCTTAATTGGAAGCCTTCTTTGTTGTGTTTTGTTCACTGCTGTGTTCCCAGGAAGTTAACAGTCTTGGAAAACTCAAAATTTGTTTCCAGACTTTATGGATAAGCCTATGGGATAGTAAGTAGCTTGTAATCTGGGTAAAGTTGACTTTTGATTTAATTTTACTAAGCTAACTGAATAGGCATTAGTAGCATGAGTATAAATTGTGGTTTTGCTGTGAATTGTGAGGTGGTTGGTGGAGAAGTGCACATCTGGGTTCTTGTTTCTAATGGTTATTTTTTTTTTTTAAAGTCATTTTATTGGGTGGACCAGTGGTTATTTTCATGTTACATTAAAAGTGCCTCTGGTGGGCCATTCCTGTTGTGTGCAGATATGCTGTCTGGGCTTTTGATAAAAGTAGAAGAAAAGAATTTTTAGACCTTCAGGTTAGCCTTTGCCAAACTGCTAACCAATAATTTTCAAACAGAAGGAGAAAGTGCTGAGCCCAGTTGAGATATATAGAAAGGGATTTGTTGTGCTAGTAAAATAAATAAATAAATAATAAATGAGTAGTAGGTTCAGAGAAATGGAGCAGGAACCTTCCAAGGAGCCCTGGTAGCATAGTAGTGGTTATGAGTTGGGCTGCGATCTGCAAGGTCTGTAGTTTGAACCCACCAGCTGCTCTGCAAGAGAAAGACGGCTTTCTATGCTGGTAAAGAGTTACAGTCACTGAAACTCACAGGGGCAATTCCACCCTGCCCTATAGGATGACTATGAGTTGGCATTGGCTGGATGGTAGAGAATGAGTTACCTTTATCCATCGCCACTGAATTGAGTTAGATTCATAGTGAACCCTATATATTTAGCATAAAGCCTCTTTGTCATATATCCTTAAATATATTGAAGTATTACAGAATAGGTACATAGGTTATAGCTGAAAGTTTCACCAAGTGAACACTCAGGTGACCAGCATCCAAATCATGAAGCAGAACCTTGTCAACACATGAGAAGCTGCTTTGTAATCACTGTTGTGCTTGACAAGAGGTCTGGTTGCTAAGTGCCTTCGAGTCGGATCTGACTCATAGCGACTCTGTGTACAACTGAACAAAACTTACCCAGTCCTGTGCCATCCTCACAGTTGTTGTGATGCCTGAGCCTTTTGTTGAAGCCATTGTCTATGCATCTCCTTGAGGGTCTTCCTCTTTTTAGCTGACCTTCTACCCTACCAGGCATGGTAGTCTTTCCCAGGCCCTCCTGATAACGTGCCTAAAGTACGGGAGAATTCTTGGTGGCTTCACCTTTAAGGAGCATTCTGGCTGTACTTCTCCCAAGACAGATTTGTTTGTTCTTGTCACAGTCCGTGGTATGTTTAATATTCTTCACTAACAACATAATTCACATTCTACATTGGTTTTCTTGAAGGGTTGTTTGGCTTTCGTGTGCATATGAGGGGGTTGACAGTCGGGTTTGGGTCAGACAGAGGAGCTCTAGTGGTGGCATAGATAAGACTCAGCTGCTAATCAAGATGTTGGTGGTTTGAACCCATCAACCACTCCTTAGGTTACAGCAGTTTTCAACCTGTGGGTTGCAACCCCTTTGGGGGTCAAACTACTCTTTCACAGGGGTCCCCTAAGACCATCGGAAAACACATTTCCAATGGGCTTAGGAACTGAAACACCGTTCCTCTGTCTCCAGGCGGGTCTGCCTACATGCAGATATGCCCACATACGAGTAGCCGGCTTGAAGACTGTTATCCATGCTACACCATGCTTCAAGACAAAATTTCATTTATTTGTCACTAGAAATAGATATTTCACAATATATAATGACATATTGTTTTTGCAATGAATCAGTATGCTTTAATTATGTTCAATTTGTAACAATGAAAATACATCCTGCATATCAGATATTTACATTATGATTCATAACAATAGCAAAATGACAATTGTAAAGTAGCAATGAAAATAATTTTATGATTGGAGGTCACCACAACATGAGAAACTGTATTAACGGGTCTCGGCATTAGGAAGATTGAGAACCACTGCCTTAGGAGAAAGATGTGTCAGTTTCCTGCTGTAAAGATTGCAGCCTTGGAAACCTTATGGGAGCATTTATTCTATGTCCTGTGGACAGCTAAGATGTCAACTTGATGGCCCTAGGTTGGTGGGTGGTGTCCTCAATGTAACAGTCTTATTTTTTATAACACTTCGAAGAGGTCTTGTATAGCAGAAGGCAATATGTTGTTTGGTATCGTGGCTGTTGCTTCCATGAGTGTTGATTGTGGATTCAGTTAAAATGAAATTTGTGACATCCTCTGTCTTTTATCCATGTATCATGATGTTACTAAATTGATCCAGTTGTGAGGATTTTTCTTTTATCTTGAGGTAACTTTTACTGAAGGCTATAGTCTTTGATCATCTTCAGCAAGTGCTACAAGTCCTCTTCACTTTCAGCAAACACAGTTGTAAAACAAGGTTGTAATCCCTAACATTCTCCTCCTGGAACTGCTGTTTTGAGTTAACAGAGTACGTTAGTTTTGTATTCTCAAAATTTGAGTATAAATGGGAGCAAATATATATCATCTTTTTGTGTACTTTGTATCATGTAGAGGTTTAATCTCATAGCATTTTATCGAGTACATATGCCAAGAGCTTTGATGAACTTTATGGGCCATTTCCACGGTTGGGAGTGGTAATGATCAGTCATGTACTTCCTGTCCTTGTTTCGGTGGACATGTGCCCCTATTTCTGTTTATATGCCTAGGAGTGGAATTGGTGGGCCATACGGTTCAGCTCTCATAGAGTAAATAATTTTTCATAAAGATTGTTACCGTCCATACTCAGTATGTGTGACTTCTCCTAGTTTCACTTTCTAATACTAGGTATTTTTCTGAGTGTCTTTTTTTTTCAGCCGTTCTTTTGGGTGTATAGTATCTAATTGTTTTTAACTCCAGTTTTCTTGATGATTAATGATGGCACACCATGTCTTTCTTTCTTTTCCATAGTGCATGGTATACTTTCTTTTCTTTATTTTTTAATTAAAAGATAATTTTATTTGGGGCTCTTACAACTCATCACAATCCATACATCAATTGTATCAAGCATATTTGTACATAGGTTGCCATCATAATTTTCTAGACATTTGATTTAAAAAAAACTTATTGGGGGCTCTTACATTTCTTATCACAATCCATACATTCATCCAGTGTGTCAAGCACATTTGCACGTATGCTGCCATCATCATTTTGAAAGCATGCTCTTCCCACTTGAGCCCCTGATATCAGCGCGCCATTTCTTCCCTTTCCTTTCCCCGCCTGCCCGCCCTCACAAACCCTTGATAAGTTATAGATTATTATTTTCATATTTTATAATCGTCCTCCATCACCCCTCACCACTTTTCTGTTCGTCCCCTTGGGAGGAGAGGTTTATCTTGATCCTTGTGATCAATTCCCCCATTCTCCCCCCACCCTCCCCTAATCTTCCTGGTATCTCTACTCTCATTGTTGGCCCTGAGGGGTTGATCTATCCTGGATTCCCTGGGCACACTTTCTTTTCTTGTTACATGTATTAGTTGTCCTTGCATATTTGATCAAAAAGTTCTGGAAAGGCTGTACATTTAAAAAGTCCATGCATCAAGCATCCAAGAACAAAAAAATCATACTATTGTAAAGGTGGATGAGTGCAGAGTGGAGACTCAAAGCCCATTGGTGGGCAACTGAACAACCCCTTACTGAGGGGTTATGGGGAGGAGATGAGCCAACCAGGGTGCAGGGTAGCAATGATGAAACATATAACTTTCCTCTAGTTCTTTAATGCTCCCCCCCCACTATCATGATCCCAATTCTACCTTACAAATCTGGCTGGACCGGAGGATGTACATTGGTACAGACAGCAACTGGAAACACAGGGAATCCAGGATAGATGACTCCTTCAGGACCAGTGGTGAGAGGGGCGATGCCTGGAGGGTGAAGGGAGTGTGGGGTAGAAAGGGGGAACCAATTACAAGAATTTAAGTATTACCTCCTCCCTGGGTGATGGACAGCAGAAAAGAAGGGCGGAGGGAAACATTGGACAGGGTAACTTATGACAAAACTATAATGATTTATGAACTATGAAGGGTTCATGAGGAAGGGGGGAGTGGGGAGGGAGTGGGGGGAATGAGCAACTGATATTAGGGGCTAGAGTGGGAGGCAAATGTTTTGAGAATGATGAGGGCAACAAATGTACATATGTGCTTGACACAGTGGATGGATGTATGGATTGTGATGAGAATTGTACAAGCCCCCAATAAAATAATTTTTTAAAAAAGTCCATGCATCTTAAAGTACTAAAGAAAAACTAGGATTAGAAAGGAAAAGTGTACATGTAGCAGGAAGAGTAGTTAATTTGGGGTGAAAAGGGGCCATCTGTCATGTAAATTAGAAATGAGAGCAGCTTGGGCTCTTGCCAGAAACTTCCCTTGGGCTCTGGGAGGGAAAAGGAGCCATTGGAGAGCAGTAAGGAATTGAATAAATGTGGCATTGTAACAGCCACAAACAACTCCCTGTTTGTTCCATGTTGACTTGGACTTCTCTTTGGTGAGAAAGATGCAGTTGTTTTTCTTTTTTCATAGTCTCATACCAATTATTTTTATGTAGTTGAAGAGACTCTTGGGCTATAGACTATCAGTGTACGGGTCACATTAATCCACTTACATTGAGCCACCAGCCCCTTTGGCCTTCCCGGCTGCCCTCTAGTAGATCAGCTTCTCTGTTTAATTCCCTAGAACAGATGGAGAATCGAAACTCCCAGGCTCACAGGTGGCTTGCAGGTGTGTAGTCTTTGACCTTTGGGCGTGCCCCTGCCCCCCATTGCCAACTTT